CCCCAAAACCCCAAAACCCCAAAACCCCAAAACCCCAAAACCCCAAAACCCCGTAATATATAAAATATGTTGAACATAAAACAGGAAATAAATGGGGTGATGCCAGAAATTCTGAGTTTGAATCTTAAAGTGATTTGAACACTTCAGGTGACGAAAACGTAGGGATACTCACCAAGATCAGAACGATTCAAAAGAGGATGAAGAGAGCAAAACTCCTGCCATTGGAGAGAGATCACACTCCAGTAGTTCTGTAGTCGAGATGCAGAAATCCAGTATTCCTCTACGAAAACGAAGATCACAGTTGTCCAAGAACCCTATTTTGTCTAAAATGAGATATATCAAGCCTGATCAGGGCAATATGAATGCTATTAAAGAGCTCAAGCGAATCCAGAAAAAGCATAAATCAGCAACAGAATTAAATAAGGTATTGTCGAAACTTCCCATATTATATTCGATCACACTAATACTTAATTGTTCAGAGACTAAGCGAATTACCAGATCTGGTTGATTCCCAAGGACTAGAAGACAGTGAAGAAAATATGGATGAGGATGATCTCCTCGAAAATAATGAGAATACAATCACTTAAACAAAAGCCTCAGAGCTTGAAGAAGTTGACCAAAGCAGGTCTTGAAGAGTAAGTCCTACTGCACTATGTACATCAATAACAACTAACCAACTCCTTTTGGACTGAGTTACCCTCAATAATGCTTAACGAAGCTAATCTGGTTAATACTTTCAACTCAGTTTTCCTCAATTATCCTTCTGAAAGTATAAAATTATTATAACAACCTGCAGCTCAGGATTAGTCTCAAATTTCTTACCTAATTGACCAATATAGTTCTTCGAACTACATGAAGAAAAAGAGTTTCCCTGCAAAAGGATTCTACGACCCCAATCAATTTCAAATTGGTAATTTTATTTCTACGATATAAAAATTTCATTACTTAGGAATTCGATAGAGTTTCACTGTAAAATTTACTGTCTTCTCTCCTCTGACCTGTAACGAGGCTTAGCCTTACTGTATATTGTAGCAGGAGAAGGCATCCTAAATATCTTTTACTGGCTAACTCTTGGATGTAGACTCAGAGTCCTCAGAAGAAGAAAAAAATATTGAGCCCCTTGTTCCATATAAAGAAGATGAAGAGGAGCCTGATAATCAGGCTTCTGTAAATCTTCTCAAGGTTGATGACTCAGTAAAAGAAAGTTTAGTCAAAAGCTCTCTGAGTAATTTACTACTTTGATTTTTACAGAATCTTCCAGTAAAAGTGAAAAGAATCTACCAATTATTTACCCAAAGAAACATCACCGAAAGAGTATTAGCAATCAAGACGTTAATGCTAGCAAACATCAAGAAAGAAGTATGTTTAAGTAATAACAATTAGGCCAAAAAGAGTCCTCAATTTCTCATGAGAAGAGTAGTTTAATAAGCAGAACTATCGGAAATTATCTTGATAACAAATCTATTCGGAATACAAGCAATTTTGGGGAGTCAAATCCTGGTTCATATGAAGACTCCAAGTATGACAAGAAGAAGGTAGCTAGTAATATCGATTTTGCGAGACAGCTTCGAACTAATAGCGATAGATCATCCCCATACATGGGGTCGATCTATTCGCGCCAAGCAAAGCTGATGAGTCCTCAAGGAGGATATCCCCGGCCATATCAAGACTCTTCGAATAAATCCTCAAGTAAATCTATAGAGAGGGTTTCTCAAAATCCTCATAGTGATCATTCAATGAGATTTGTAAATCAAGGATATAACATCACTCATTCAAATAAGAACGAAAGTAACCCTACCGATCACGATGCCAGTGTACATACTGCTCATAACAATGAAGGGAGAGATGCGATAATGTCTCCCGCTACTAACTTCCGACAACTCCGTAGAAAAATTCATGAAGAGAATGACTTCATTTCCAAAGGATTCCCACAAAAAATGTTTGGTCCCTCCTCCGGAATGCGGCTAAGGCCGATCCCAAAGTCCTTCAAAAGTAGTAATCTCTCTAAAGATCGAGAGAAAGCTAGAAAGAACGAGCTTGGGTTTCCTCTGACTCCGCAGCTGTAGTTCCAATACCCAGAGGATTACTTAAGCTAACATAAATTTAAGCATAAATTTTATCTTAAAACCTCACTTTCCCATGATGGACATGAAGAGGGGTTTTGGGGTTTTGGGGTTTTGGGGTTTTGGGGTTTTGGGG